CTCACTCACTCACTCACTCACTCACTCACTCACTCACTCACTCACTCACTCACTCACTCACTCACTCATCCATTGACCCGTCCATAACATACCTCGACGCGCCGACCATGAGTTATTTTTTTTTTTACAAAAGAATAACTCAATAAAATACTACATCATGACTTCGTCTGTAATCTATTACTGAACAGACGCACGGCAACATGGACTCCATTTGTTTAATATAATAAAAACAAACAAACAAACAAACTACTACAGAAAAGCTTTTTCAGATCAAAATCTTTCAACCAAACTCAAAAGGCCGGCCTTTGCCCACTTTGAAAAACACGAAAATAGCAATTTGACGTCATCTGTTGTCTATACAAAATGAAGCAATCCCATTGCTTGCTACGCGTAGAAAAGAATTGTGATTGGTTAAGGGACATCACACTATTGTCAAACTTGAATCGAGCGTCGCTTTTCGTGGAATACAAAAACTCTACAGCGAAAGCAGAACTGAACTGTGAAATCCACAAATCTTAGAGAAAATTCAAGGAAATTCCAGTCACGTTTTGCTAGCAGAGCAGCCCTGTGAGGTGAAAACCGATTATTGCAGGAGTTGAAAAATACGTTCGGACAACTTGCGGTTACCGTCAACAACGACACGTTGGAGAGGCCATTCGATTCGAGTTTTGAATGAAAGGATCGTTAGTGACGGTGCAAATTTGTGTCCTCTATGGTTGGTAAGGGGTAAAGGGTAAGGGTAAACTTTATGTAGCCAGGGTGGCCCATTCAGCAACGAGGTTGATATCCAGAGGGGCCCTGGTGATTCTCCTGTGCATTTGCGATAGTGTCGGAGACACTTTATAGCTGCGATACAGACGGCCGTGAACTGTAGTGAGCTATACTTCGTTCGCTGCTGTGCCCTGAAACGGACTGGAACATTCGCGTCGGAAAGCAAGTTTATGTGTTTGTTTTAAGAAGTGATGTTGTAATGTTTCTTTCCTGACACTAATCTGCGTAGACAATTATTGAGACTGAGAAAAGTTGAATTAATTTTTAAAATAAATTAATCTTATAAACATTTTGCTTATTGAGTTTGTTAAATTCCAGAAGAAGCGATGGTTTCTTACCGTGAAATAATTTGAGGACCAGTTTTGTGTTTGGTTTAGTCTCGCTCGACTGCCGACTGACACTGCTCGAATATTTTTTCCGAGTCATTTTTGAGTTATTTTTTGTAAAAAAAAAAAACCTCTTAGTCGGCGCGTCGGGTATGTTACGGGTCAATGGGTGAGTGAGTGAGTGAGTGAGTGAGAGATGTATGTATGTCACACCAATCAGATTGAATCTAGTATAAACAGCCAATCAAATTTCTTGTTGTGAAGATAAATAGTATGTGAGGAGATTTGATCTCGATGTAGTTCAGAACGGCCATATTTATTCCTCTATAAGAGAGGAGGAATTGTTCATGTATTTGGCTTATTTCGACATCTTCTGAGGCGAGGATTTTGTGGGCGGGTTTGATAAACATTTGCAATTAGATAAT